TAGCCTACCAGTACAACTTTTATTGCTCTAGGACTGAATTTATCTTGCTTTGTGAGGTTGGTGGCAAAGCACAAACAACCTATGACTCTCACATGATCAAAATAAGGAGGTGTGTTGTACATTTTCTCAAAAGCAGACACATGTCCTAAGACAGTAGAAGGGACTCTATTCAGTATATATACAACAGCTTGAATACAACACCCCCAAAACTTATTTGGAAAACCAGCTTGAAACTTGATTGCCCTGGTTGTTTCAAGAATGTGCCTATGTTTTCTTTCCACAACACCATTTTTTAAGGTGTAAATGGACATGAGCTCTCATGTATAACACCATGTGATTTAAAAAATTCATTGCAGGTAGAATTGAAGAATTCAGAACCATTATCAGATCTTACTCTCTGAATCTTCTTACCAAACTGAGTCTTTACTTCAGTAAAAAAAATATTTCAACAAGCTACTAACATCAAATTTAAGCCTCATCAAAAAAATCCATGTCCACCTTGAAAAATCATCAACAATTATCAAAAAATATCTCATTCCATCTAAAGTTTCAACTCTATAGGGACCCCAAACATCCATGTGAATTAACTGGAAATTACAAGTAGATCTACTAATACTATGTGGAAATGACACCTTGTTTGTCTAGCCAAGGGACATATCTCACAATTATGTAATGCAAAAGTACTACCAAGTTTTTGGAATGAAGGAATTTTCCTTATTACAGCCATAGGCACATGACAAAACCTTTGATGCCAGACATTGGCATTTGCATCTTAAGTTGCAGCCAAACATCTCTGTGGTGTTACTTTCTCATTATTGCTCTGAGAACTCAGTGTGTACAGACCATCTTCTTTTTCACCAATCACCCTCATCTTCACGGATGAGAGATCCTGAAAAACACAGTATTTAGGAAAGAAGGTAACACTACAATTCAAGTTCTTAGTTACTTGATAAACTGACATAAGGTTAAACTTGAATGCAGGTACACATAAGACTTTCCTAAAAACATCACCTCCTCCTATGTGACAGTCTCCAATATGTGATACATTTGCAGAATCCCCTGTTGGCAATTGAACTTTCCCTGCATTTTCTATCAAGTCTTTGTGTTGTAAATATCTAGGATCACCTATCATATGATGGGAAGCACCTGTGTCTATTATCCATTTCAAAATAGGCAAAAAAGATATACCTACCATATTAGCACTGCCAGTAGTCTCATCAATAGAAGTCTGCTCTAACATTCTCAATAACTGTTGATGCTGTCCTGGAGTGAACATTGGCATTGGCATTATCCCTTGTTGAGGAATAGAAGCCTGAATAGAAGGCACACAAGCCTGGAGCATGGGATAATGATTAGGAGAATTCACAGAACCTATATCATAAACAGAATTCCCAGCCATTGCTGCCTCTCTTTTACCCTTTTAATCAGGTGGATATCCAACTAAACGAAAATAATTAATCTTGATATGTCCAATTTCATGACAGTGATCACACTTTAGTAACTTGTTACAATCAGCTCTCAAATGACCTTTTATATGACAGTAATCACAAAATGCATTGGGAGCATAAGGTTTTTTAGGTCTCTGATATCCAGATCTAGAAGTAAACATGGAAGTGGGAGCCATATTCTCAGGTACCAACCTACTTGATCCAGCAACTAACTTCTGACTCTCATCTTGATTGACCAAGGCATAGGCTTGATTAACACTAGGAAGTTGAGGCATTAGCAAAATTTGACTTCTTGGCTAACTATAATTATCATTCAGGCCCATGAGAAACTACAGCATCCTTTGATACTGTAAGTGATCATAAAACTCTCTAGATTTGGGGCAATTACACAAAGGAGGACGCATAATGGAGTCATATTCATCACAAAGATCTTTAAACCTCGAATAGTAAACAGAAATAGCTGAAACACCTTGAACTAAAGTAAAAATTTCTTTATGAAGTTGAAAAATCCTAGAACTGTTAACCGTGTTAAATCTCTCCTTAAGATCTACCCAAATCAATTGCGAATCTGAACAAAAAAGAACTCCACTATGCAAATCTTTACTTACATTGCAGAGAATCCATGAAACAACAATCGCATTGCACCTGTCCAAACGTCGAGCTAAATTTCCTGAAAACTGATCCCTCATCACTGAGCCGTCGATGAAGCCTACTTTGTTCTTCCCAAGCAAGGCCAATTGCATTGCCTTGCTCCACAAAGTATAATTGTCAGTTCCAATGAGCATGATCCCGACATTAAGAGAACCAGGTGCATCTGCTCGATGTAAGTAGAGAGGATGTAGATGATCAATTGGGGAAATTTCCATGGATGAACTCAACTGAGTTCCTGCAACTGCTTTAGAATTATCTATCGAAACAAAAGAAAAAGAAGAACAAATAGCTAAAAATTAAGCAGAAACTGTTGAATAGATGGAAGCCATGATCGATCCTTGCTCTGATACCATGTGAAATTTAGTGAGTTATTGATCGAATTGCATAGAAGCTAAAAACACTGATATGTAGCTAAGAACACTGGAAAATATTCATGAGAAAAAAATGTGTACAACTTCCTTTGATTGATTCATTCTATACAATGGGACCACTTATATACAATATTTCTAACCGACTCAACTCTAACAAACTTGTAACTAATTGTACTTGATTCTAGAAGCTAACATGACTAACTAACTCAGCTATCTGCACAACTAACTAAGCAGTGTATAATTACAGTTAACTAATCATGATTAAGGTACATTTATCACTTTCTTTTAATCATTGCTTTGACGCGGCTACGTTTGCCATATACTATCAAATTACACATATAACTTGATATACACGTATAATGCATCTGTCAAAAACTATTATGTAAAAAAAGAAAAACTTTTTAAACCAACTAAAAAGAAAAAAACAACATATTTAAATTAAAAGGAATACTATTTTGAGGGTAAAATGACTGTTTTTACCAAAGCTTTGCAAATACCTTTTAATTGTCATGACTGATTATTTGTTAAAACTTATACTCCTTTTATTTTAATTTGTTTGCTTTAATTTCTTTTTTAATCCACTTAAGAAAGAATTTTTCTTTTTTCTTTTGGCAACTAAATTTTTAATTTCAATTTTTCACATGAAAAATTTAAAATCACAAGATTAAAGAACAGTTTGATACATTTCATATATTTTTAATTTAAAATCACAAAATTTAAAATTTTTAAACGTTGTGTCAAATAAAAAACAGACAAACAAACCAAAAGGAATAGAGTAAAAAAAAAAAGGAATTGAGAAAATATTTCTTTTACTTGATTTCTAAATAGGTAAATTTTGTTTCAAAAACTTGCTTTTGGCCATGAATTTTTTTCGCTTTTTTTTTGGATTAGAACTTCAAATAACTATGTTTGTGCCATAAAATCCCAAGATTCAGCTATTGAAGATAAATTTCAGAATTTTCAAGAATTTGAAAAACATTAAAAAAAAATATTATCACTTTTACTAGTAAAAATAAAAAAACAACTCCAATCTATATACATGACCAAACACAATTGGACCAATTTTCAAACATCATTTTTATTTAAAAACCAAAAAAAAAATCTTTTTTTTTACAATTTCACAATGAAACATCATCACCCACTTGTTTCACGTGTTAAAAAAATATACTACTCCTTCCTATGTTTTTTTTACTAGGTGACGTTTATTTTTATTTGTTCAGGTTAAATATACAACATATATAGTGTTATTAGCCTGTCTTTCACCAAGTGTACTTAATTAGTTCTTCCTTCGTTGATATATCCCTGCAGCAGGACTTCGGCTTTAGCTGATCACGTTATGTTCGATATACATTAATAGAAAAGGTAATTTTATGCACGATACACGGTGCAACAAGAATGCTCTTGGGAGCGTCATCCCTGAATGAGGGCGGTGTTTTACATCATATATTTGAGGGAACATCACTTTAACAGCATGGTGAGATATATAAGCGACAGTGAAGAATTGTGAAATGTTTAACGACGTAAGAAATGCAAACAGGTTTGGGGTTACCTTTAAGTAGAATTTTTTACCTAAAAAAATTGTTATCTGTCCCAAGGAATAGGGCCACATCTAGGCATGAGTCAGTCGCTAACTTGCTTTTTAATATTTAGGCACATGGATAGTCATCTTTCAATAGGGCCCTTGAGACAATGAGTTGCATCAGTGCTTTACCCCAACAGACTTTGTTTGCATGGGTGGTTGGTATTATTAGATCACATGCTACACTGAACTTTGTTGTCGTTGTTTTCTTTTGGTTTCGCTTTCATTCGGTGTTCGGAGGTCACATTAGAGCCCGACTAAATCCGGATCGCGCACTGCAGGGCCCATTCGATGAGTGACGCTCCCAACAGGTTTTTCTCCATATCCAAAGCTCGAACCCGAAACCTCTGATTAAGGGTGAAGAAGTCTCACCATTGCACTACAACCCATGTTGGTTGAACTTTGTTGTCGAATATCGTTTCTCAACTATAATCACTGTATACATGTAAGCGCCCCATACCTGTGTGTGTATAGTAAGCACTATTTTGGTTTGTTTTGAAAATATTTTTCTGGAAAATCAGTGATTCTTTTATTTATTTTCTTGTGTTTGATACGTAAACAAAATATTTATACACATACAGAATGAGCATAAGCATACCAGGGAAAGGTTTAAATGCAGTTGCTTTTCATATCCATACAGGCAGGAAGGAATCAGTCATTATGCTGAGGGGCGGAATAAGGCAGGACAAGCAGAGACCACAACCAATATTTTAAAATTTTCAAGGAGCAGGGCAGACTAGGATTAATATGTTCAACAAACCCAGCTTGACAAAGAGCTGCTTTTCCTAATGAATAGCCTTTCAAATTTGTATATTTCAAACTGAAAGAGCAATGTGGTCTCTGAAAAAACAAGTCATGGTCTTTCTAACTGTGTAGGTGATTTTAGACCTAATAGTGATTTCTGGCAAACTTGTTAATTGGGATAAAAGTTATTTCTTAACTACGCCTAAAATTTCTGCTTACAAGACCATAGAATTAGAAATTGTACCAGTATTATGGAATAAGTCCTCTTTTCCTTTACTTATCTTGGATGCCTCTTGTATTTTGGTAGAAAAAGACTGCACTTTTTTATCATATGGTTAATAAAGTGGTTTAGAGGCTTCAATGGTTGGCATGACAAGTTACTGTAACAAACCCAATAACAAGACCACTCAATTCAAATTCAAACAACCGACAAGTCTATTTCACTAACTCGTAATTGAAATTACAAAGGAATTTAAGAACTAAATGGAAATTGAAGAACACAAGTAGAAGAAAAGGATGAGAAGAAGAACTCATAGAAAGGGGATGAGAGGACTAGACATTTTTCTCAACAAGTTGCATAAGTCCAATTTGCTCTCCCAAGTGGTATTTATCAACCCGGATCCCAAACATAGTCTCTTAATTCGTTGTTGGGCTGTTTTGCCCATATTGGTCCTGGCTCGTTCATAACAATACCCCCCTCCTGAATATGAACCTCGTCCTCAAGGTTCAAGTAGATCAATGACAACGTGAAAGACTATCACTCTCGTAAAGTGAAACATGCTTCTCTGTCTCAATTCCATAAGGGAGTGGTGTGATAACACTTCCGTAACCAAGATGCAACACATGAGATACTCCCTTCTGCATTCCAAGCCAGAGCAATGGTTGATGATCACTAATAAATGGTTGATCCAAATCCTTAACAGAACTCATTACAACAGTTGATTTGTGTAAATTCAAGGTCATGTAACAGATGGTTAAAGTAGTTGAAAAAAACAAGAACAGTTGATAGTGTATCCTCAGGGATAGAAAGTAGATTAGTGTACCATGGAACATATAAAAAATTAGTCCCAACAGTTCCGAAAGTAATACAAGGGACAACCATTTTCGCATCCATTGACTTCCTTGTTGGCATATCATTGCCTTCTCCAATATCAAAAATTCTCCTTCCATTATTTAAGAACACAATAGCTTTGATGGAATATACAATGCAATGTTGTCCACCTAAACCAACTGTTAAAACTAGGAGAGTTGAAACAAGGAAGGATATCGAAGAGACAGTAGGCTCGACCTCTCCAGAAACATAGCAGTAAGCAACACTGCTAGTGAGTAAATCAAGGATCAAGCTGACTGTAAACATTTTGGCGAGGAATGAATAAGATCTTAGTGTCTATTCCATCAAATTTGCAATGACAGTAGTAGGCTTCATCAGGACCTGTAGAACATCCCTGTAATTGTAGTGCCTCTGCTTTCACTGGATAATTTGATAGAGCCATGGTCTCGAAACTTTTCTCACAATCCCATACATAAATATACGATGTAGTTACAGGAATGGGTACCATAAAGAATTTAGCACCAGAATCAAAGACGAGATACAACAAAGTTGACTTTGATATATGAACTACACCAAATATAGCAAACAAGAGCACATCATCTTTATTGACCTGAATATTGGGAAACTGCTCCGAATATCATGCAGCCAATGCTTCAAGCAACCCTTGTAGTTTCTCCTCCCTACTAAACACTCTTGATTTATACGACAAGAAACCAGGAAGATTATGCTCTAGTACGTTATTAACCAAATGTAAGAATTCCACAAGGTTGGCATAATTAACTTATCATGATCCAAGTCATTTGAAGAAACACAAAATACAGAGTTTCTTGTAACTCTAAGGAACATAGTAAGTAAACGAGAGACAGGATCAAATGGAAATGCTAACCCGCAATGGTTAGGTGTAAACAATTGTAAGGTTACGATAAGTGAAGCACGACCAAGTCTACTAAAGTGATCAGTTATACCTCTGTTTATAAGTTGGACATATGTGCAAGTTGACAGCATTCCAAACATCTCCTCCGAGCATCGGGCAATCCCAAGTCCAAGTTGCATATTAAACATGACAAGGTCATTATATTCTCCCTTAACTGCAGAAACTGGTTGAAACATTTCATCAAACATATAGGATGCCAGATTTTCTGAATCATTTATCACTGGATGTTCGACTTTCATGTCAATTTTCTTATTGGGCATTTCAGCGAACATCTTGCAGGCATAATTGATTGGGTCATCCTTCAAGCCATTTTTGGAGTCCAACATGGGACCCAAAGTCTCAATGCAACCAAATGAAATCACCCGGGAAGGAAAATGAATAGAGGTTGAAGAACTACCCCTTGAATTTAACCGCTGCGGAAGTACCATCGAATTGGCCACATGAGATTCTAACATGGTATGAGCGACCTATAAATTCTCTGTAGGGTTGGAGTTGTCCTTGTCCAAAGCAGAAACAATTTCCTGTTCAGCGACCTATCTATGTCACACTTATCGGCCAAAGATGCAGTCAAATCTGGACGTGCTTGAGCGTCATAAAACTTTTGGGAGCAAGCCGATAGAGAATTCTGAATGTTATCCAAGTGACGGTGCATACGAGATAAATGCGCATCCATTTGTAACAATAGATCAGTTACGGGAGGCAATCCAAATTCCGTAACAGTTGGTCTGCGGTAATGGTAAAACAATTTATCAGTGAAATGCTTCCAGTCATAGAATTTCTTATTGCGATACAACCAATTAAACCAAGCGAGGGCTTCTCCGTCAAAGTAAAGGTAAGGAAGAGATAACCACATATCCTTCGATAAGCCATAAAAATTGAAATAACACTCTGCCTGATAAACCCATACTGTTGGGTTGGAAACACCGCTGAAGCGCTCCAGCACGATTGCAGTTGGGGTTTGGCAAGAAAAGTTGAGGTATCCATCAGCCATGGAGTATGAGCAATGAAAGCACCAATGTAACAAACCCAATAACAAGATCACTCAATTCGAATTCAAACAACCGACAAGTCTATTTCACTAACTCGTAATTGAAATTACAAAGGAATTTAAGAACTAAATGGAAATTGAAGAACACAAGTAGAAGAAAGGGATGAGAAGAAGAACTCATAGAAAGGGGATGAGAGGACTAGACATTTTTCTCAACAAGTTGCATAAGTCCAATTTGCTCTCCCAAGTCGTATTTATCAACTCGGATCCCAAACATAGTCCCTTAATTCGCTGTTGGGCTGTTTTGCCCTTATTGGTCGTGGGCTCGTGGCCCGTTCATAACAGTTACTATCCTATTGTGGCAACATTGTGCTAATTAAGAGTGCTCTTCAATCTCTTCCCAGATAGCTCTCTCTGCTTTGACTCTGCCTGAAGGTATATCATTGGAGCTCTTGGAAGAATCTTTGTTTCCCTATGGATGAGGGTGGCATTGGTATCAGAAGTTTTGAAGATTTTAGTCATGGATTGGCCCTGAAAAGATGGTTGAGGCTTAGGTTACTACCTCTCTTTGGTTCACTTTTCTGGGGATACTTGTCACCTTCCACAGAAGACACATGGGAAGAAATCACCTAGAATTTTCGTCTCTGCTGGAACTTGAACCTGAGACCTCATGATTCTTAACCCATTTCATTGACCACTAGGTCACACTTTTGGATGCCTCTTTGGTCCACTTCTACAAACATAAATATTGTAATAGATCTCACTTGATCAACAAACAGTGGTACTCGCAAATTCTATGGACGGGCGCATATGCTTCAAGTTAGGGAAAAGGCAGAGGGTCACATTATTCGGCAAATCAATTCAGGTAGACTCGTAAAGGCCAACTTGCTCATCTGGTTCCTGAAGAGGCTACAAGCTCAACTATCTGTTAAAGAGTTCATCCTTGATGGAAAATGGAATCTGGCTAAATTAAATTTATTTCTCCTTGATAACATCATTTCCCACATTAGTGACATTGAGATAGGAAATCTAGACAGGGAAGATCAAGTGTTTTGAGACCTCGCAAACGGTGGAACGTACTCTAACAAAACAGATTGCCATCTGGTAAGAACTAACAAACCTAAACAACCTCTGGTCAACAAGGTATGAAATTCTTTTGTTCCTTCTAAAATGTCTTTTCTTACTTGTGGTAAACTTCCCTTTAAGGAAGTCATATCCATGTTTGGTAGATATGTGGATTATCGTTGTAATTGTTGCATAGACCCTGAAAATGAAACTATTAATCATGTTTTCAGTGAACGTAAAGCAGCCCGTTATAGTTGGAATCTGTTTGATGCAACTCTTGGTGTTAAGCATAGACCATATCCCATTTACATAATTGATACTTTTGGTGGCAAATAGAGCTGTAAATGATGTGCATAAATTGATCCCTCATATTACTCCTATTATTATGGAAGGAAGAAAAAGTTTAGTGTATATAAAATGAAACAAATAATAAGATGAACTGTACAAGCAGAAACAAGCAAAGCTTTTCCAAAATGCAAGCTAAAAATGCCATGGATAGCTTTATGTGATAAGCAGACTGCAACCTATCCCCAAGAATCATTAAGTGTATTGGCAAAGACCAGATGAATAGAATTTCACACTCAACACGGATGGAAGCTTCAACAATGGCAATGGGAAGGCTGGCCTAGGGGGAGCTCTCAGAGATGACCAAGGGGATTTAATCATGGAATACTCAGTACCAATCCAATGCAACAGTCATAATTTAGCAGAAGCTCAAGGAGCCTGGTTTAGACCAAATAAGTGTGTTCAAGATGGCTTCTCTAATTTCATTGTCGAGTTGGACTCATTGCTGGTGAATAATATGCTGAGGTAAGGGAAGGCTAACAACTAAAAGCTGAATAAGATAATAGATGATACTTCAAGCATGCTCGTCCAGATTAATGCTCAGTATGCTCATTGCTATAGGGACTCTAATCAACTTGCAGATTGGTTTAGTATAATTGGCAATGAATACTCAATGACCAACCTCTAGTTCTCGGCCCAGCAGCTTTAAAATGGTGCCAAGGGACCCTTCCATATGGATTAGAACAATGTACCTAGTTTTAAGACCAAATATGACAGTCAATTTTTTTGTAAGTTAAGTCTTTACTCCTTTGAAGGTGTGCTGGGCAATAATCCTTTTTGTTGATAGCCTATTTGTTGTAGGATAGTCTCTGTTGTTGTATTTGAAGAGGTAAGGCTATACCCTGCCTCTTGTAGCAGTTTGCTCTGGAATAAAATGCAACATACTCAGCTAAACTGGGATTTTATTTTTTTAAGAAAAAATTAACTTTCTGTCTGTTTAGGAGCTTCTCTAGTCGAGCCCAGAACCACTAAATGGTTTCTTGGTTTTGAATCTGTAGCTTCAATTATATGTTGAAGGAAGAATTGTTATGTATTGTGTATATTAACTACACAAATTTAGCAGAATAATATGCTTAAAGTTACCAGGAAAACAGTGCTCAAAGTTAAATGTGAGCGTGAAAATGGATAAAAAAAATAATTTGATGACAAGGGAAACTCACGGCCGCTATCTTTAGGGTGCGAACAGGGTAAAACCCCCACTCCTATACAATAGCTCGCAAACCACACAGGAGAGGAAACCTGCACTACGAAATTCTTGTGCGACGAGTTCAATCCAGAAGGCAAGCCCCTTGCTTTCGCTGGCAAGAGGTTTCGAACTTGAAACCTCCAACATGGAAGTCCCAAGCCCAAACCACTAGGCCACTTATGAAAAAATTAGCAAGAAATTATGTTTTACTAAGTATGTGAATAATGTGCATGCTACTATGCTAGGGCGAATATATTTTAAAGACTACATACATGATACCACTGTACCAGTGACACAATTTATGGTCAAAAGGAAAACAAAGAATATTATCTGAATAAGAAAATAAAGAAAATACCGTAAAGAAAAAGGTAAGCAACAACATCATACCCAGTGTAATCCCACAAGTGGGTCTGAAAGCAAACTATAAAGAGAAACAATGAAAGCATAAATGGGGCAGAGCGGGGTGAGGGTTGGGGCAAGGCCGGGTGACAGGTTGGCAGGAAAAATATTTGAAAAATTCCTAAATGCGCGGAACGCGTCAATTTTTTTGCGGGTTAAGGCTTGTCCAGCCCCACCACGCCCTGCCCATCTATATCCCTAATTATGCTCATGTATTTAAGTGATTCAGAGAAAGCTGTAAAAGGGATAAAACAGAATGTACATTTTATTCATATTGAACTACTTTCTGCAGAACAAAGCACAAATTTACTGAGTAGTAATCTACTCAGAAAGTTTACCTGCAGTATTAGTAATTAGCATTATAAATTCCCCCAATACAAGGTTAAACTATTGATGCATGATGTAGTGCAAATACCTTTTTGCATATTCACACTCAGCAAACAATGATAGCCTAAAATAGTCTAGACACATAAATAGATTAGCAAACGGTCCAAGATTTACTGAGAAGGGAAAGAAAAAACAAAGGCATCCGGACTGATACACTAACAACCTATGGTTGAACACGTCAAAAGCTCATGAGATTATGTTAAATCAGAAAAGCTTTCAGAAATTGCATTTATAAAGGCAACTTACAACAACATCTCCCTAGAAGCCATAGCATATAAGAACTCTCTCTTTAGTCAGTCAAACACATTGGGAATAAACAATAGTTACAATTATGATCACGAAGCTCTCTTAGGAGGTGCCATGTTATTATTAAGAGAAATGGCTGTACCAATAGCAAAAAGTTGCACCACAAATCCTGCAGAGCAAGCACTTGGTCAATAGATCAATTGTATGCAGCATATGATGAACCAGCTTTGCAATATTAAGCTTACCTAGTAGGACAGCGTCAACCTTTAGAGTATCCAAACTTGTAAAATTTTGGAAAGTCTAGAAAATAACATCACTAGATTACTTTTTGGTCAAGTAAAAAAGACGGCAAAATATCATAGAAAGAAGCAAATAGACAATAACATCATTAGATTATTTTAATCAAGCCAAAATGATAGCATGAAATCAAAGAAAGAAGCAAATTCAAATAAAATCAACAGAATGACCAACTACTTGCAATTGAGGAAGGATCACTGCAATTGGTTGACTAGTTCCGAAGGAATGGAAAAGTAGATAGGTTGTAAAGATGGTACTTTGTGAACCCCAAATAAGTTATCGTACTTAGTGCTTGATGGTATTCTTTTACTTCCATCTTTTACCAATCAACCTGTAAGAAAGCTATTTGGAACACTGCCAAAATCACTTCCCAACCTCATGGACAATGAGATTAAAAAAATATCAATTGGTCACTTTGATGCTAAAAAGAGGCAACCATATAGTGAAAGAGGGAACGGCGAGACTGGTAACACAGAGCAGGAAATCTTCGACAAAGGATACAAAGGCAATAGCAGGTGGGAATGGTAATAGTAAGAAGGGGCAGCAATAGAGTGATAAGGAAGAGGAAGAGACAAGTGGAACCTGTTTTCGTTTTTGGGCATAAATAGAGAAAGTTGAACTATAACAAGCTACCTACCGTCAAACAACTACTAGTAGCCCCATTTTTCTCATCAGAATGAATAACTACCTAAGCATACCCCCAATGAGAGATTGCTCATAGCAAGATATGCCACTGCCGACAGGATCGACGTCGACGACCCAAAGGCATAAAACTTCAAAAGGTAGGATCGGCTTCTCTTTCGACCTAATTATAACAAGATAGAATGTTCCATTAAAAGGTGAATGATTAAATTGATTAGCTCACAAATGCGATTCAATAGCAAACCTAGTTCCCCTGCCATAATAGAGACGAAACCAACTGCAAGGGAAGAAACGGAAACTCTATTGGGAGGCTCCTTCTTTATTAATGAAACAAATACATTAGCTTCTATAATCAACTGAGTGACTACCTGCAGCACATGACGCAAGTTTTGCGGTATGATACATCAATATGCCCAAATGTTGTTATTCCAAAACATAATGATTATAATGCTCAAAACGAGATAATAAAATAGTTAAGCCTCTGGGTTCTTCTTTCTTCCCTTTAATTTTAATTATCAATTATCAAAGTTCCAGCAAGAAAGAAATAACACAATCACGAACGAATCGAACACCAGGGGAATGGAAACCCCAGTATCCTAAACTAAAATGTCAATTAGTTAATGATGGCACAATTCAAGTTGAAATGATGAATTAGTGGTATCTTATTGAGCAACTAATTTAACACCATCTCAACACCTTAAAAATAACCATTTCTGACAAAACTAGCGATGTTTAAGTAATAGTAACAAAACAAATTCAACGTACAAACCTGAGCGAAGATCAATTTGGCGAGACGGGACTTTGCCTTTGCAACTTTTGTGTATCCTACCAGACAATTCGCAGTAATTGAATTTAAGAAGATTTAAATGAAACATGGGAGTTGAAGGAAATGGAGAAGAGGAGAGAGTACTGGAATCGACGACCATGCGGTAGGAGAAATCACAGCCATCGGTTCCGGACGACCTCCCTCTTGCTACTGCCCTTTGATTCATATTCTGCCTCCTCTTTCTCAATTTGACAACTTCATCAAACTTTATGCTATTGCATAGATGCTATTTTTGACACAAATTTTACTATTCTAGAGTATTTATGGAGTAATAAATATTTATTTTTATATATAAAAGATATGAAAAAAATTATATTTTGCTTCTATATAGTATTAAGTTTGTAAATATCCGACAGATCTTAATTTCTTGAAATAAACTAGAAGCAGGGGCTGAAGAATTGTTTTATGCGCCAGGAAATTATTGAGATCTCTTTCCCTCTTACCATTTGAATAGAAAAAATAACCTTTTTCACATCTTTTAGGTTTAAAATTAAAAGTTCCGTGTTAAAACAAAACATAAAATAAAAAGATTTGTAAGAAACTAGAAAATTATTTCTCCCATTTATTTTTCAAATATGTGTCTCATAAGTAAAAGAACATGCTTGTACTTTTAAGTGATATCTGATAATATGAAATTATGCTATAGAATATCTAGTGCGACAAACGTAGAATGGTAGAAAAGTTGTACGCAAATTAATTATTCTACAATTTCTTCAGCTTTTGCGATTAAAACATTCAGCAAGATCCAGGGCCAAGTAAGAAGTATATGTAGCCAATAACTTTTAGGTGATGTTTTGTATATTTCAAAAGAGTAGCAAAAACATAAAGATGATGCAATTTTTTCTTTAATTCCTTGTATAGAAACACACAGGTAATAATACAAGTTTCAAGAGTGAAAGATAAAATACAAAAAGATTATCAGACACTCTATGCTTCTAAGTTCTACCCTTTCTTTCTGCCTGAAGTTCCAATAAGGTACACTTTTGACAAAATGAGAGAAAGGAAATTTCAATATTCTGTACATATTTGAGTTACTATGTCCACTAGTATTCAGGACTAGGGATGTGCTTTAAAATAAGCTAAGAGGCCAACAAGTGGTGCATTTACATATGTAGTTGGTTCTGACTGGGCAGCATTAGGTCTAGAATCAACAAAATAATCGTTGATATCAGGTCCTCCAACCACTGCCCCTATATGCAAGTTGGGATTTGGATTTTCACTGAGGAAATATGGTGTCCCTTCTTTACATCCCATCTTCTCTGGATGTTGATCGATAGATGGCAATGAAGCCCCTCTATGGTGTATTCTTTGAGGAAATGTTGTTCCAAATCCAACCATGTATGACATGTTCATTGGATTTATCCCAAGAATATAATTCACCTGCAGATATCATATGTAACTCCATCAGTTTAGTTTCTTTTTCAAATTTTTCACGATTTCGTTGTTATTCTAATATGTAACACACACTACAATACCTGGCTTCTTGCAAAACGAATTAGCATCTTTTGAGTTACATCAATGTTGCCACAGCGAATGACTCTGCTCTTCATGTAGCGTGCATAGGTAAGAAGTAGAAATGACAGAGCTGTTGGATTTTGCATATTACAAATCCCTGATTTGTACATGAGTCCACCTGCAAAAAAGAATTGAGGATGAAAACAATTAGTACAATCATTTTTTGCTTTTGAAGTGGAAGATAAGGGGAGGGGGGAACTATACCTGGAGTGTATCTGACTGTATTGGTGGGAGATTCAGGCAATACACTGCAGACGAATGTATCAGCGTATGGAAGGAAGGGGTTAGCATTTGAAGGGTTATCGAGAACAAACTGTAGTAATGCCCACAAAAGTGAAAGATGTTAGATTGATTCGAAGACAGAGTTAGTAATTATATATGCAGAATAAATAAGAGTTTGCTCTAGCTAGTTAAACCTTGGAGATAAGCACATTGATACCAGCATGCTTGGCATCCCATCCGAATTCTGATAAGCCGCTTTCCATGTCTGATTTGAAGTTTATTATGTTTTGCTTAACGTAGATCCAATACATAGGCTTTCTTGTAGCTTTGAGGAGCCACGCTGCAGCCCAAAGCAATTCATCCTGTTCAATTAGGACTATTAAGAACTTGCTGAATGTCAAAACAATTTGAAGATTATTAAGCCTTCACACTTACTTTGTACCCATTGTAATCACAATAGAATGGGCACACCCATGATCCTATGTGATCATTGTAAGATCCCCTGTATTTATCTGCAAATTCAAAAACCTGAAATTCGCGCATAAACAATAGCATTATTTTCACCTCAACTGTTTGGTAGACCGAAAAGGAACGCTTTAGTTGTCTTATTAATAATACTTCCTCTGTTTCCAAATATTAGTAGTCATGGTAAAGTGAATATATTTCAAAAAAATTGATGGCTAGTAGCATATTGTTACCTGAACAGCTCTGTTGATAAGCAATTTGAAATATGCGGGATCAGTAGGTTTAAAAACCACAGAGGCAGCAGCTAGAGCAGCAGCAATTTCAGCAGAAACTTCAGAACCAGGAGCTTGTGCAGTAACTGCAAAAGCAGTACGAGGAGTGTCCATATCTTCAGGCCTTTCCCAACAGTTGTGATCGCCCTCCGCATTACCTACTTGTGCAAAAACCACGTTGGGAATGTTTGTGGCCTTTAAGAAATAATCCGTGGACCACCTGATAGCCTCCATGGCATGTTGCAAGTCTGGTCCCATTGAATTTTTAAACTGCTCGACACTCCAAGCCAACATGGTCGTTGTAAAAGCCATTGGAAAGTGGAACTTGACATTGTCACCAGCATCATAGTACCCACCTACCAAATCCACCTGAAAAAGATCCTTGTTTCTTTAAAATTTGGGGCAATATGTATTTGTACTAACAAGATTAAGAGCATGACCGGATAGATTATCCTTTCTCCATCGTAATTTAAGAAAATAAAAAGACTTCTGAATCAAATGTATATAATGTACCAACATGTAATTTGAATCACGTTTTTCTTAAACATGCCAAGTTAATAGAATTAAAGAGTTACTACTGAATATAGGAAGTGACATTTTTTTAAACAGACTAAAAATAAAGTAAGATGCGTGAATTGAGATAGAGAGAGTATCATATATTATGTGTACTTACACCCTTGTCAGCTCCATCAAGAAGAGCAGAATCTTTTCTCCAAGTCATCCGTTGGTTAGGGGGTAATTTACCAGACCTTTGTCCCTCGAAGAAGAGAATACTCTTTGTTAATGCATCGGCATAATTAGGATTAGGAACGTTAATTGCCACAACCGTTGCTATCAAGCAGACAAATATTGCTGCTATTATTCTTAGCACTTGACAATTAAGAGAGAATTTTCCGCTACCAATCATCTTTCTCAATATTCGTCTTGGACTAGGTACGATGTTTGTTGTTTATTTGCCAGAAACTATCATTTACCATTATATATATACTTGTCCAAAAGAACATCTTCCATCCCTAGAATGCTTTTCCATAAAGATTGGAAAAGCAAGCCTTGGAAATGCAAGTTCATTCTACAAAAGCAGACTAATGATCTCAGATTGAAGTCTTGCAGGGGATGGCAAATTTTTTTATTTTCTGTGGGTGCAGACATAACAAGTTTACAACTATTCATATATTAATCACATTGTTATAGCGTATCTCGAATGATACGGAAGTATATATGAAGTTACCTTTATTAGCTCATGAACTATAGTGTTGACTACTCTAATCAATTTATTGATCTTCCATGGGATTTGATGCATTGCTTGTTATGCTTGTATATTGTGTATATCAGTCTATTAATGGAATGAAAAACTAAAAGGTGCAAATTTCAGACGATTTGACTAGAATATAATATGATTAATTAGAAGGAGAATTTGTTTAAACCGAAAGCATAAAGAGATATAAAATCCAAATAGCCGCCGTCTTCCTTTTCAAGGATCGCAAGTGTTTGACGATAAAATTTGAGTCAAGAAAGAAAATATTTTTATAATAATAGTAATATTCGATTTCAAGAGTGTTATAATCTCTATAAATTGTTGATTGAAATTCAAATAGCCCACGTCTTCCTTTTCGAGGATTGCAAGATCCATTCCCAAATTAAAGTGAAATTCCGAACAAGTTACATTATATTAGCGCTGACTCTAGTTATTGGTTGACTTTTAAGTTTCTTTCTATCTAAGCACCTTTAATTTCATTTTACCCAAAGCAAACCATTTGTAAGTTTGCCTTATATGTCTTAATTAATGTCCGAGTGTCAAAACATGTTTGACTGATCACGGAATTTAAGAAGGAGAGGAGATGTTTAAAACTTTTTTAAAAAAAAATTGGGGATGGGAAGGGGAATACAATATGGAGAGTCGAACTTTAAGCAACAATGTGATAATTCAAGTAGCCAACCAACTAAACTACTAAGATTTTTCGTAGATTTTTAAATCTTGTGATCTAAAATAAACTATTAAATAAGAGTACTTATTTGTTACTCCCTCCATTTCAAATTAATTGAATTGTTGAGACATATTTCATTTTTCAAATTAACTTAATTGTTTAATTTTCAAGACTACTTTTATAATGTTCTTCCAATTTTACCTTTCATTAGTTAGAATTGGAATTAGCTATTAATTAATGTTTAGTTATTTTAATCATAAATTTGACAATAATTAATAAGGGTAAAAATGGAAAGTTATGTCTAGTTTATGTCTAAATCTTCTTTTCTTAAAGGGTGTGAAACACCTCAACAATTCAATTAATTTAAAATGGAGGGAGTACTAAGTATAAAAAAATAAATTGAGAAGCTAAAACTATTAAAAAAAATTGCTTATTCGATGTGGAACGGCTTGTCCATTATACTAAAAATAAATGTTCACTTCCATTCATCTTGAAAATACCAAGCACATAGACTTAGATCGTCACATCATATAAATAGTTGAAGATCAGAGCATTAACTTAGGTATATATCCTCTGCAGATCAACTAGTTGATTTGTTCACAAAGGTTATGTCCAGAAGTCGACAGAATTATCTTATGTCCAAACTCATGTTTTGTGATACCATCAATTCGTTTCCCATTTTCTTCCTTCTTGAATCTTAATCGATCACTCAAATTTACACTTCTACTTCAATGGGTGATTGGTGTCTGATAATAGGCACATGAATCGGAACTATATTTTTATAGGATAATCACAAAGATTTTTATTTTTTTTGCTTAGAACGGAAGGATTTATACGGAAGGAAATCAAAGGATCCAACTATGACTAGAAATAAACTCTATGTTTTTAAGCATCTCTTTCTTTTCTTGCTAATGCTCTCAAGAGAGATGCATACAGATCAGTTCCTTCTTGTATGGATGATCTTTAAACTAGGATACTCTAGTCCAGTATCATGATCAGTTTTACTTGTGTACAGTGCAAAAATTATTCTCCCCTGTCATCTCAAAATGGAATTTGAAGCTTGATGCTCTCAAAGTCTCAATCAGTTAAGATAATAAGTTAAGCTTAAAAAGTACTTTCAAATGTCACAAGGGCAAGAATGAATGTGACGGGTTAACTCACAAAGGTTTCTTTCTAGAGTAAATTCTTAGTCATCCAATGGTAAGGATGTTGCATCACCAACACTAGCTTGTCGAGAAACAACTTGTTTAACTGGAGTCTCGCGAACTGACCTGCTGTTTACATTTCTTCTTCATAGTCTTGGGAGATAACATTTTCAGTGTTCAATTCTTCTATTAATGGCTATCTTATAGCAGACTATTCTATTCTGATGAGGATAATGCTTATGCTTAGGTTTTTTTTGGCAATTTGGATCTTTGTGGTCAACAAGTCCGCAAACCTTGGAGAACATCAATGGGATTCCCTATAGTATTCCCTCATTGCTGAAAGCGATGAAGCTGCAGGTTGTTATTTGCTGCTTCATCTCTATTTCCTTTTAGAAGTCTACAGTGGAATTGGGGAAGCAACAACACGCCTTTTTGCCCAATACAGGTCATCATCGTAGCACATCCAAGATGAATAAGGCAGAGCCGTGGCGGCATCCATCCCTTCACAGATTTGCAGCTATGTGCAATACGACGTGAGTGATGAAAATCAAGTGAAAGTGATGGTGGATTGGACGGTCCAAAATTAGGGTCAGCTTGACATCATGTTCAGTAACGCACGAATAGTTGGTAGTTCAGGTCAAAAGGTACTCGATCTGGATCTTTCCGAATTTGATTGGGTGATGAACGTCAACGCTCGAGGGTATGGTTGGGTAAAGCACGCAGCACGAGCCATGGTGGAGAAGCGTGTTAGGGGGAGCATAATTTGTACAGGTGGTATTGCGGCAAGCAGGGGAGGACCCTGGCAGACTGATTACACATAATGTCGGAACACGCTGTTTTAGGCTAGTGAGATCAGCTTCAAAGCAATTGGGTGAGTATGGACTAAGGGTGAATAGTATTTCACCTTCCGCAGTGATGACACCATTGATGATCAGTGCGGAAGTGGAGGTATCAATGAAGGTTCTGAAAAAGTATGGCCCGCAGACTAGTTTGAAGGTTATTACACTGATGGTGAAGCACTTGGCAGAAGCTGCTCTGTTTCTAGCTTCTGATGATTCTGCTTTTGCGAGTGGACATGATTTGGGGGTGGATGGTGGCTTGATCAGTCTTCCATTTCCATGAGTTCATTGTTAAACAGAGAGAACAAACTAATTTGTCTCTTTTGATTTCTTTCTGGTTTCTCACCCTGTGTTCGGTACTCACATTGGACATTGGAGCCCGACTAAATCCAGATTTGCGTCAGGAAGTCTCACATTGAGAGTAAAACACGACTCCTTACTAGGGGGACTCAAACTCGAAATATCTAGTTAAACACTTAAAGTGTAGCTCTTGTCTTGGATGGATTTTGAATCTTCATAACGTGCATTCTCTATTTTAAGATTAAATGTGTCTTGATTTTGTAATTAAGATGCAGTGTGCTGGGCACTTCTGGCTATGTAAAATTCTCCAAATTACAATGCTTTGATTACATTATGATTTGGCAAATTGCAAGTTATAATTGGAGAAGTACTGGCTATGTTTGGTACTAATTGTTAGGCCTACGGATCCATAGATTGCATTAAAGCACAAATCTAGAAAAGCAAGTGCAAAGTTTCCTAAAAGTCATGGAACTCTAGAAAACCAAGCAGTTGAAATTCATATTTTTGGCGAGACTACGTGCCCCATTAAATATTATGGACTATGGAACACTAAATTTTACTGATAGAGAAAAATATTTTAGATAATTTTAAGGAGAAAATGTCTAAAGATTAAGTATTAACGTGGTTTGTATCATATACAGTTACTGACTAAAATAGTTTGTGTATACTTTTGCGCCTGATGCAGTTTTAATGGAGTTGTCATTATTGAGTTGTTATAGCTTGTAAACAATCATCAAATTAAAAAGCTTAGAACGCATGAAGAACCTAGTTTTTTTTTAATTAAAGATAATCAAAGTTATTGTGCAGATTATAAGAAATTGCATGAAACTTATATGGAACTTGTGAATCTTTGACACAAAAACTTATTATAAAACGACATATAAAATTGAACTGGAAATTGCACGTGTAAAATTGAAATATCTATTATAACTTGGCTTGAAGTTTACAAACCATTGGTTGAAACTAAAAACTAATCAAGATTACATGTATAGCTTTCTTTGGTAAATTGAATTACATACTGTATTATGCTTCAACCTTATACCTTATACCCAAAAAGGGCGTAAGACAAACACGTTCATGTTTAATTCTCTCATGAGTGATTGTTGAGCCTCTAGGATCCCAACTGTTAATAGCAATGCCGAGAACTATAGGAAGCAGAGGGCGGCCCAAATTGGCTGGTAGAGACATCATGGTCCGAGCAAAAGCAGAGAGTTTTGTGATGATGGGCAACATTCTGTGCAAAGGCACACCTATAGAGCTTAGTATTTCACAAAGACTATCATCGGGAGCAGCATTGTCACGAATCATAGCATTACTCGGCAAATAGTAAGATTCAGTGATAAATGGACCTCGAGGTTCCTCAACGATGGAATCCCCTTTCTTTGACAGGTACTGAACAAATTCTTGAATCCGAATTTCGATCAAGAATAATTGACTAGTAGATGGGTTGATGATGCTCTTCAAGTTGATGGACTTTGGAATGATAAAATCATCTGTCCAAACTTTGAACTCATTGAAGGTAATTTGTGGAATCTCCATCTTCAATTTTTGTAAATTGTAAGTTGACCTAAGTGAATGAATAGAAAAGATTATTGGTCATGCTTTTATACACTTTGAGGAAAGAGTATTGGTGCAAATTGGTCGTAAACAAAATTGTAACTTGACAAGCAAGTAATAACTAATGGATTAATTTCAAAT